TGTACAGTTATAGAGACTAATTTGATTCTGAACTTAACAATGGCAGCAAGACTGTTGGTGGAGCAATACTGGAAGAAGGAAGAATTGCCTACTATTCATTCATAAACCTAGTTGAAATTTCTTAGTTTGATATTTATTTTGAATGTGGTCAATCCATCTTTTCCATTCAAGCTTGTATTTCTGATCTGAATAGTCCTTCAAATATGCTGAGATTTTGGCCATCTCTGCTAAATTTACTACTTTTAACGTCTATTCTTGAATAGTAGGCAATTCTTCCTTCTTCCAGTATTGCGCCACCAACAATCTTGCTGCCATTGTTAAGTTCAGAATCAAATTAGTCTCTATAACTGTCTGTAAATATACCTAGCAAGAACAGCTGGGGAGAGGGTGTTTTTTTTAATGCAGTAAATAAGCTATAGCAGTGATGGCTGACCATTTTGTTGTCACGTGCTGAAAGTGCGGGCCTACCCACACACCTAATGCAATGCACGCGTTCCCCCGTGTGCCCCAGACCCCCTGCACATGCGTGCGTGACCCACCCCCCACCCCCATGCATGTGCGTGTGACACGGGCCATTTCGGGCCTAGCAGGCCTCCCAGCAGACCCCTGGGACCAAAAATGGGGTGCAAGGGGGCATGCTCCCCCCCACGCTGCCCTCCACCTCCCACATGTGTCTCCCACATGTGCCCCATGCATGTGCAGCAGAGACCCAAAAATCAGCTGATCAGCGGGAGGTATGCGCACATGCATGGAGGAGCTGAGCTGGGGCGATGGCTCTTGTGCCCACAGAGAGGGCTCCGCATGCCACCTGTGGCGTCACCATCACAGAACTGTAGATTTCTCCAGCTTTTGATAAAGGTTCTTTGCAGAGTTCTCTGAGGCAGGGGTCTCTTTAAGACTTGTGGACTTCAACTCCCAGAGTTCCTTAGCCAGCTTGAGGGATGCTGGGAGTTGAAGTCCACAAGTCTAAAGTTGCCAGGTTTGGCGACCCCCTGCTCTGAAGCCTCTCTGCAAAGTGGTACCCCACTTTGAATTAGCCAAGGCACTGATACGCGAGACAGGTTGGCGGTAGAAATCCAGCAACCCCTCTTTAGTTCTTTGTTGGGGTGGTGCAGTGTGCAACATGCTACAGCCCACAAAATATTGAAGTGCTGCGAATTGGGAGAAAATGTCAGTAAATTAAAAAAAAAATGCATATAAGCCGCAGTTCCAGGGGGAGATTTTGTAGGATGGCCAGGTGATAATTAGAACTACTTCAGAACGTTATCGTTTGTTGTCACTGTTAGGTAGGGAAGACAAATTTTATCATTTGAGGGACCTGTGAGCTTCACCTCCAGGACTTTAGTATTGAAGAAAGAGTTCCATACCTTGGATACTTTTAGAATGCAAAATTTGCCACCAATTCAACTGCAATGGAATCTGGAAATCTGTATTTTACTCTTCCATATAATGGCCTCCAGAGGACATTATATGGATCTCAGTTCTGCATTTCTGAATTGTGCCTTATTGGAGGAGAGGAAATATAGGACTGGGGTTGCACAGCGCTTAGTCGCCAAGTGGTTCTTTGGAGCGTGAATGGAGCAACTTTCCATGGTGGTTTAAAACAACTGTGTCTTTTTCTCAACATCCCCACCAACACTGGGGAGCAGATCAGTGGTGAGATTCAAAAATTTTTACTACCAGTTCTTTGGGCATGCATTGGTGGGTGTGGCATAACTTGGTGAGCATGGCTTGATGGGCATGACAGGGGAAGAATACTGCAAAATCCCCATTCCCTCCCAATCATCTGGGACTCGGGAGGCAGGGAATAGATGGGGGCGGGGTCAATCAGAGGTGATATTTACCGGTTCTCCAAACTACTCAAAATTTATGTTATTGGTTCTCCAGAACTGGTCAGAATCTGCTGAAAACGCCATCTCTGGAGCAGAGCAGACAATGGAAAAGATCTCCTGCTAATCTATAAGTAATATGCAGCCATGCCAGTGGTGGGATTCAGCCAGTTCCCACCACTCCGGGAGAACCGGTTGTTAACCTTCTGAGCAATTTAGTGAACTGGTTGTTGGAAGAAATCATTAGGGCAGAGAACCGGTTGTTAAATTATTTGAATCCCACCACTGAGCCATGAGGATTAAACAGCCTTCTGGTTTTTTTTGTACAACTTCCAGTGCCAGGATCTGTTTCTACTTACAATTAACATTCAGTGTGACAGAGCGATTTGAATGGCCAATCTCGTTGCGGGCCATACAATGATAGGTATCAGAATTGCTGGGTTGAATTCCCTCAAATCGCAGTTCCGGTCCATCCATGATAATACCAGATGTGCTGCTTTTGTACCATTCATAACTGTTGACGGCAGGGTTGCCAATGGCTGAACATTTCAAAACCACTTTGTCGTTTTCTCGGATGGGTAGTCGCGGCATTCCATTAATGCTGACTTTTGGCAGATCTGGGGAATTGAAAACAAAATGGGTTTCAGGTTTTTTGTAAGGCAGATGTTTGGCAACTTCTTTCTCCTGAAGGGGCAAGGGAATAAATCAACTTGGACACGAAGATGATGACAAAGCTGAGTATTGTCATTGATCTTGCAATTTTTGTTGTGTTATTCTCTCTCCCCCCACCTCTCTCTCTTTCTCTCTCTCTCTCTCTTTCTTTCCCCCTCCCTCCTTCTCTCCCTCCCTCCGTCCCCCTGATTTTTTATGATCTTTTTCGAGGTGGTCATTAAACAAACACCATGGTTGCTGAGAAAAATCCTTGTTTAGTATCAGTATTTTTTTGCCAAAAACAGGAAAGTTGGTTTCTGGAAAAAATAAGAATAGCACTTAAACTTATATATCACTTCACAATGCTTCACAGCCCTCTCTAAGCTGCTTGCAAAGTCAGCCTATTGCCCCCAGTAATCTGGGTCCTCATTTTACCAACCTCAGAAGGATGGAAGGCTGAATCAAGTTTGAGCTGGTGAGAATCAAACTGCTGGCTGTGGGCACTGAAAAATTTGGGTTTGGTCTATTTACAGATGGGCTTATCTACAAGTATATACGGTAATACTTTTTTTAAAGTACCCATATATTCTGTATCTACTTACATTCAAGCCCATTGGTGGATAAGCTGACCATCTCATTTTTAACCAAAGTACCATGAAAAATAGATAATGGATGGGCTGGATTGGCCATAGATGAACCAGGTGGCGCAGTGGTTAGAGTGCAGTACTGCACCCACTTCAGCTGACTGCTAAGCTGCAGTTCGGCAGTTGAAATCTCACCGGCTCAAGGTTGACTCAGCCTTCCATCCTTCCAAGGTGGGTAAAATGAGGACCCAGATTGTTGTTGGGGGCAATATGCTGACTCTGTAAACCGCTTAGAGAGAGTTGAAAGCCCTATGAAGCGGTATATAAGTCTAACTGCTATTGCTATTGCTACTTTTGAAAATTAAAACATACAAAAACATTTCTAGGGTTAGTTTGCTGTCTCTGTAGCTGATATATTTTTCATGGTATTTAGGTTGGCTTATTGGCAGATGAGTGTAGACTTTCCCTTTAGAAGATGAAAATATCTTCAGAAGAATTGGACAGTGAGGAGACCTTAAGAGAGAATTGATGCTCAGCAGCACCAATTAATCAACTCACACTGGACGTCGATGTTCAGATCTTTAGAACTGATACTTCTAATGCTGTTACCAACTTGACACCTGTAATTTCCAGAATCTGTGTCTTTTAAACTATAAAACTCTCTTCTGGCGCCCCATTGCCCATTGTTCCATCTTTCACCATTCTTAAACCACTGAAAAGAGTCCACAGCAGGATTACTGCTGCCAACTATACATTCCAGAGTGAGTTTGTTTCCCTCTCTGAGTGTGCCTTCACGGTCAGCATTCAGTTTAACTCCTTTGGGACCATCTAAAAGCAAACAAGATTCAGAATTAAAACAAAACAAAACAAAAATGCTTGAGAAAAATGACTGACACAATTAAGATCCAATGTTCTAGGATTCAAATTACAGTGCTCAGAATTATAGTTACCTCATAGAGACAATGTTTATTTATTAATTTATTTATTTATTAGACTTATATACCGCTTCGTAGGGCTTTCAGCCCTCTCTAAGCGGTTTACAATTTTTTTTTTTAGCAAAGTGAGTCAGCAACTATGAGTTTCAATCTCATAGAGATTCCCAGAGTCAAGGATGAGTCGGCATTAAAGAATGTTTAAAAACAATACTTTTGGACTCAGCAGAAAATGTCTAACCTTGTTCCCCTTCCCCTTTTAGTCTGTGGAATTTTTTTTTTAGCCTTGTCCCTAATTTGGAATATTGTCTCTCACAGAAGAATGAACTTATTATATGAAGCATCAAAATATCGAGCCATGCAGTTTAAGCTTCTTGGCAGCCATTTGGTGTAAACAACATACTTAATGTAAAGATATAGGTAAAGGTTCCCCTCGCACACATGTGCTAGTCATTCCCGACTCTAGGGGGCGCTGCTCATCTCCGTTTCAAAGCCGAAGAGCCAGCGCTGTCCAAAGACATCACCATGGTCATGTGGCCAGCATGACTAAACGCCGAAGGTGCACAGAACACTGTTACCTTCCCACCAAAGGTAGTTCCTAGTTTTTACTTGCATTTTTACGTGCTTTCGAACTGCTACGTTGGCAGAAGCTGGGACAAGTACCAAGAGCTCACTCCGTTACACGACGCTAGGGATTCGAACCCCCGAACTGCCGACCTTTCTGATTGACAAGCTCAGCATCTTAGCCCTTGAGCCATCACTTCCCTTACTTAATTTAGATATTGTATTAAGCCAGTTTTTCTGGATTCACACAAGCAAGCTAGACCTAAACATACATTTTATCACCAGAGCACGTCTCTCTCCTGCCAAATCTATAATTAACTGAGATTATAACCAAACAAACTAGCTTGTTTGTTTTCTGAATGCAGTTCCTAGATCAGGGCTGTCAAACTTGCAGACCAGGGCTGGATGCATCACGCATTGGCCACACCCAGTTTAGTGAAGGGGGGAAGTCACGATATGTCAAGTGATGCTACTGTAATGTCACGAGTTTGACATCCCTGTCCTTGATTGATACATAATTGGTTGTGATGTGTGTGTACACAGCCATTGTATGAAATAGAATATAGAATAACAGAGTTGGAAGGGACCTTGGAGGTCTTCTAGTCCAACTCACTGTCTAGGCAGGAAACCCTACACCACTTCAGACAAATGGTTATCCAATCTCTTCTTTAAAACTTCCAGTGTTGGAGCATTCACAACTCCTGGAGGCAAGTTGTTCCACTGATTAATTGTTCTAACTGTCAGTAAATTCTTCCTTAGTTCTAAGTTCCTTCTCTCCTTGATTAGTTTCCACCCATTGCTTCTTGTCCTACCCTTAGGTGCTTTGGAGAATAGCTGGATTCCCTCTTCTTTGTGGCAGCTCTTGAGATATTGGAACATTGCTATCATGTCTCCCTATTCCTTCTTTTCATTAAACTAGACAAACCCAATTCCAGCAACTATTCTTCATAGATTTTAGCCTCCAATCTCCTAATCATCTTTGTTGCTCTTCTCTGCACGCTTTCTAGGGTCTCCACGTCTTTTTTTTTTACATCTTGGTGACCAAAACTGAATGTAGTATTCCAAGTGTGGCCTCACCAAGGCCTTATAAAGTGGTCTTAACACTTCACTATAATCTATAACCCTTTCCCTGAAATATCTAGAAAACAGAGACGTAAACTTTTGAAGGTCATGATTACGAAAGCTCTTCATTTTACACATGGAGATTCTTCTGTGTACCAAACAACTTGAAATGCCCACCCTTCATTATTCATATTAGACAAAGCATTCTTTCCATTTGTCGCCATTGCCATGGATGTACTTAGGGGGGTTGTCCACATAAGATGCCCTTAAAAATAGACAAAGCTTTGATCAACCCATTGTGTCCACCATCTTGCCAATTTGCCCATATCCTAGGTATATCCCTGACCCCTGCATCAGCTTTTATCCCATAATACACTCACATTTCACCATCAGATTTGCAAACTTTTTCCTTATTTCTGTCCCTTTGTGGGGTTTTAGCAAGCATGTCAATTGTTTCTCATGGTCCTCCGATGTGGCCGTGAAAAACCCTTCAACCTTTACTCTCTGGGTTTCAGTGGTCATTTCTGGGGAGAACTCGTGATGATCTTCTAGTCCTTCGATAGACAATTTTATGGGCTCAGCAAAGCAATGATAAGGTATTGAACATTCCACTCTATACTTGCTGCCTTCTTTCATTTGTGGGGACCACGTATCTATCAGTTGTAAAGGGGTTTCTGCAATCAGATAATTGAAGGAAGAAAATATTTTACACAGATGTTGAATAAAGTTGAATGGCTTTTTAATGAAAGTAATTTCATTGAATGAAAATTTATTCATTTAGGAATCTATCACGTTCAAACCAGTGTTTTATCATATACTCAGACTGAACTCTTGAGTGAAGAAAGAAAAGCCCCCCAAAAATCCTTTTACATGTAATACATATTTAATTTACCCCCTCTCCCACTACCATATTAAAAATTATATTTCAGAAGCAAAGGGATTTTGGATTCTGCATCCAAAATATTTGGAAGGGAAGGACACAGTGGTAGTAAGGCATTCTTTTTCTTTTTCATTTTTTTTTCCTTAAAAATATTTTTTATTTCCATTTTCATAACATACACTCACATGTATACCACGCGTAGCCCGTATCATATAGTATTAAATAATAATTACATCAGTTCCTCTTGTCAACAATGCCCAGAAAAATAAAAACCC